AATAATAATAATAATAATAATAGTAATAGTAATAAAATAATAATAATAATCATAATTAGAATAATAATAATAATAATAGTAATAATAATAATAATAATAATATTAATATATTTTTATTATTATTATTAATATTAATAATAATAGAATGAAACTAAGAATAGACAGAAAAAATCACATTTAAAGCGTGGGATTTTGGGTCCCGTAAAACCCCCTCCCTTTCATGACGATCTACGAACTTAACCCGGAGCACCCACCCTTTTTGTCCGTAATAAAAAATCTTGTACGCTTCCACGGTTACGTCATAACTTTCTTTCTTTCTCTCTCTCTTTTCTGTCTTATAGAACCATACGTTCATTCGCACATACATGTATCATAGTATACATACCCAACACCCACACATCTACACATATACACTCTTTCTTTCACACACGCACACATACACATCATTATCCTACACAGCATACACATACGATGATTCATGAGGGACGCACTCCCTCTCACATATATACGCGAGAGAGATACGAAAGTGTAAGAAAAGCTTAAAACGACAAGTCGTGATTGCGCATTTTTCAACAGAACAAGAAGAAAAAACAATGGCAGACGTAACGACGATAACAAAGTCCGTATAGAGTCTCTCTCTCTTTCTATTTTGCTTTCTTTTCTTTCTTTTACCCTTTTTTTCGTTTCTTTTCTAGTTATTTTTTTTTTCTATCTTTCTTTTTTATTTTTATATTTTTTTTCTCTACCGGCAGGGAAAAGAGGCGCGTGCGCCACGAAGGCGAATTTCTCGTTCTTTCTATATCTCTCTCTTTCTTTCTCTCTTGTTCTTTCTTTTTCTTTTCTACATACCTGGTACGTATGTACATACACGTACTTATGTACATAAAGAGTACATACACGATACGCTTTCGTTCTCTCTCTCTCTCTTTTATTCGCTTCCGTTCTTTTTCTCCTTCTCTTTTTTTCCATTCCAACCCTCATCCCCAACTCTATTCCCTCACCGCCTTTCCTTTCGCGCTTCCATCGAAAAAATCCTCTTTACCTTCGCATCCGACAGGATAGCCGAGTAAACTTTTTTTTCCTTTTTTTTTAATTTTATTTTTCCATAAACTCACAGTTTCATAATAATAACAATAATAATAATAATAATAATAATAATAATAATAATAATAATAATAATAATAATAATAATAATAATAGTAATAATAATAATAATAATGGTAATAATAATNATAATAATAATAATAATAATAATAATAATAATAATAATAATAATAATAATAATAATAATAATAGTAATAATAATAATAATAATGGTAATAATAATGGTAATAATAATAATAATAATAATAATAATAATAATAATAATAATAGCAACAATAATAATAATAATAGTAATGGTAATAGTATATAATAAAAAAGAAGACAGAAAAAACAGAAGAAAAAAAAATTATAAGTAAACGAGAGTAGTTGATATTTAAAAAAATATGTGTTGCATTACGAGTGCTAAAGAGAAACGAAAAATATATTGGCGCGAGAGAAAGGATAAATAAAAAAAAAGAAAAGAAATAAAATAATGATATACAAAAAAAGAAAAAAAAGAAGAAAATATAAAAAAAATAAAAAAAAATCGTTCTTGCAGATGTGTAGGATGATAATTTCTATATATATTTTTTCTATTTTTTCTTTTCCTTTTCCATTTTGTTAATTTTTTTATTATTCATTAGATTCTCTGCTCGAGAATCCTGTCGATTACACAGAGACAATAGCACATGGAATGGAAGCCGCGAGGAGGCGGATCACAAGCACGAGCACGAGTACGAGCACGAGCACGCAGTCAATGATATTTTTTTTAACAAGAAAATTACTTACTTCATAATATTTATATTCCTATCTCATTTTCTTTTTCTTTCAATTTCTATTATACGAATATATATATTTTTGCGCGCGCAACACACACACACACACACATTAAACATGCTTGTAGGTCCTTTCCTTTACTTTCGTCTGTCCCTTTCTCATTCTCATTCTTTCATTCTCATTCTCTCTCTCTCTTTCATACTTCTTGATAACGAGAAATATAGTCACAAAAGAGAGGGTGAAATAGTTTCATTCTTTTTCTTTTATGTTTGCTTTTTTTTTTTATTCTAAAAGGAAAGGGGTAAGAAAATATTTGTTTTTAGTTTTGGAAGAGACCCAAGAGAAAAAGTAAGTTTCTTCGTTTGTGAATGATAAAGGCGATAACAATTCACTGCGAAAATTACAATTCGCATTTCATATCTCAAAATCTCTCAAGTAACTTTCCTTTTAATCTCTCTCTCTCTCTCTTTATGTCTCTCTCTTTCTCTCTTTCATACAAAAAAAGGGATTTTCTTTAATTTTTACATTCATTCACTCATTCACTAATTCACACTCTCTCTTTCTTTCTCTCTTTCTTTTTTTCTTTCATACAAAAAAAGTGACTTTCTTTATTTTATACATTCATTCACTTACTCACCAATTCACTCTCCTTCTCTCTCTCTCTTTCTTTCTTTCATACAAAAAAAGTGATTTTCTTTAATTTATATATTCATTTACTCATTCACTAATTCACTCTTTCTCTCTCAATCTTTATAAAGAGCTCTAGATAACAATCCATTCTCTTTGTTTTGTTTTTATATTCATTCATTCATTCACTTACTCTCTCTTTTTCTTTCTTTTTCTCTCTCCTTTTTTTCTATCATTCAATCACGTTAAACAAGGTACTTAGAATATCTCGAGTAAAGTCTATATTCTTCTTTTTTTTAACTTACACACCTACCACATATTATTCAATAACTCGATCAATTAATTAATAATTAATTAATATAATATTCATTTTATTTATTTATTTTTTTAATATCTATGTAATATATATATATACATTCATATGTATACATACATATATATGTAGTGATATACACATATATACATATGTGCGCATATATATTTGTATATATTTATATAATTGCTATATACAAGGAGATCCTCCATACCATTTGCTCCTTTATTATTATGTGGGACATTTTTTTCTACGCGCGTTTTGTATGTATATTTTATCTACCTATACTCCCAATTATTAAAACCCTCTTTTTATATTTTTTCTCTCCTCCTCCTTTTCCTCTTCTTGTTCTTCTTTTCTTTTCCTTTCTTTCTTTCTTTCTAATTTTTTTCTCTTTTCTATTTTCTTTGTAATTCCCTCATCCCTTAAACTGCTATATTTCTTCTCACTATTTTAATCTATTCTCGTTTTTTTCTTTTGTTTTATTACTCACATATATATTATTCATTTCCCTCGTCGATAAAAAAAATCCCTTCAAAAAGATTATTTCTCTCGTACTAACTAATTCAATTTTTGCTCTTATTTAGATTTTCTTATAGAAAAATGATCTATTTCATTTTTGACCTATCTAACTCTCTTTCTCTCTTTAACAAATTCTCTTCACATCAAAATTAGAAAAATACAAAAAAATCTATGAAATAAGCCAATTCTCATCAAAAGTTCGCTAATCGTTCCTATAGATCATTATGATCACGTTGGACCTTCATAATTCTAATTTTCATTCTTCCACTCTCTCTTTCTTTCTCTTTCTCTTTCTCTTTTTCTCTCTCTCTCTCTCTCTCTCTCTCTCTCTTCGTCTCTCATGCTATTATATTTTCCGAAAAGTTCCTTAGTTTATTTTACTTTATCAATTTTCTCGCTCGCTCGTTCAATTTTCTTTTCCTTTATTTCAACATATATATTTGATAGTGCATACCTTATCGATTGCAAGTTAAATAACGAGAAAAAGGAAAATATATATATGTATAAAGAGAGAGAAGGAGAAAGACGGAAATAAAAGTAAAAATACTAAAAGGTAAACAAAAAAGGAACGTGAATGAAAAGTATATTGTAATCGAAGTACCTTTTTTTTCTGAAGTGCTACACGCTTTCACATATATACATACATACATACATACGTAGATATGTATATACGTATATATATATACATATATGCATATACATATATGTATATTATATATACATATACCTATATATGAGTCCGCTTTTTAACAGATGAAATTAACTTTCGTGTTAGCTCGATCACGAATATTAACTTTTGGCGTGTGCGCGTGTGAACGACGTACAACTCGCGATATGAAGGATAATTAGCAAAAAAATGTTACGCATTTAACGAAATAAACTGCACGTATTACGTGTATACACACACGCACGCATATATACACACTCGCGTGTATCACAAATCGTGCGAATGGACGAATTCTAGAAAAACTGAGAGAGAGAGAGAGAGAGAGAGAGAAAGAGAGAGAGGAGGAGAAAGAAAGAGAGAGAAGAGAAGAAAAGAAGAGACCGAGATGGGGTTACACGTGTATGTGATAATGCACGCGTATTATGTGTGGGAGGAAGAATGGTTGAGTGTGAAAAACGAAAAACGAGAGAGAGAGAGAAAGTGAGAGAATATATAAGCAAATGCGCGCACGCGTGATAAACGAAAAAGAAATGATTTAGAGTAGGTCGACATTGCCGCGAATATTATGTGAGAATAGAGACTATGAAAAAAATGAGAATAGCAAAATAGAGGATGGAGGAGAAAATAGCAGTTCTCCTTTTGGATGGATTAAAAAGAGATCAAATGAAAAGAAAAAAAAAAGGAATGTAATATTTATGTATATGTACATAGATATTATTTTTGAGAGAAAAGAGGGTTATAAGGAACAACATTTTGCGAAATTAAAAGTAAAACTTAAATGTAAATATATAGAACGCAGTCGGAGGAAAAAAAGTATAAGAGATTAAGGAAACAAAAAAAATTAGCAAAGAAATTTTAGGAAATGGCCAATGGAAAAGGATTGACCTGGTCCTTAATATCGATTTAATTCCGCAATCAGACAATTGTGACAATAATCATAAAAAAAGAGAACAAGGATAAAAATAAGAATAAGAATAAGAATAAGTATAAGAATAAGTATAAGAATACGAATAAGAATAAGAATAAAAATAAGAATAAGAATAAGAATAAGATAAGAAGATGATGGATAGAAGAAAAAGAAGAGTAGTTTGAACAAGATAAATTTCCCTAGCGTCTAATCCCGCTGTAATCGACAGAAACAGTGATTACTGTTTCTCCTTGAGTCCTCCGAGAAGCGCGTGGCTTTCCATGGTGGCGTTGAGACTACTCAGGTTTCCGAGATTACCGATGTTGCTGAGGTTCCCGAGATTGCCAAGATTCGGCTGATGAGCATAATTCCTGATCTGGTGAAGGCTGATCAGCTGGTTAGGGAAGGAGGTGGCGTTCTGGTTGCTCGTCGTCCCGGGCGTGACGCCCGAGGAGGACGAAGTGGGCGAGGATTTTTGCGTAGAATTGAAGGCCTCGTATAGGTAAGGCCTCGAGGCCGGATGATGACTGGCGGGATAATGAAGATGATTAAGGGGATTGAGGGGATGCTGCATCGAAGATATCGAGTTTATCGAGATCGAGGATATCGGTGTAAAGGCCGAGCTACTGTTCGGATGATGATTCCCTGCAGGTCCGGGCTGAGGCGTCTGCTGCCTCGAGTCGTTCTCTATGGACTCGGCGGTGCGGTGCCCGTGGCCAGGTAAAAGCATCTCCGGGTTCTGATTCTGATGGTATTCGGCGTGGTGATGTGGCAGCCGTTCGTGGAGATCGCCGATAACCGAGTCCGGACTCATCTTCGGCCAATAATGATCCTGATGATGGGCGGCCATCGCGTGAATCGACGGCCTTAGACCGGTGCCAATGATAGGTGGTCTTTTATCGGTTCTCTCCGCGTGCTTCTGCATGTGCTTCGCCAGGTAGGTCTCTTGGGTATAACTCTTGCCGCAGTACTGGCAGATGTGCGTCTTCAAGTGCTTCGATTCCTTGTGCTTCGGTATGTGCTCGAGGAGGCTGGGCTCGTCGGAGAAGCACTTGTAACAGGAGTTGCATTTGTAAGGCTTGTCGGTTTGGTGGCACCTAGAGTGACTCTGGAGGTTGCTCAGCTGACTGAACGCCTTCGTACACCCTGGATGCCGGCACTTGTACGGCTTGTCGCCGGTGTGCGTGCGTATGTGCTGCTGTAGGTGGCTCAGCTGTGTGAACTTCCGCTGACAGATCTCGCAGCGGTACGGCTTGATGCCGAGGTGGATCCTCGTGTGCTGCGACAGGTAAGACGAGTTTGCGAACGCCTTCGAACACTGGTTGCATTTGTACGGCTTAGCCTCGCGCATGTGCATCTGCGTATGGAGCTGCAGGTCTGCTTTGCTCCCGAAGATCTGCAACAAAAAGTTAAACTTACATACATCGATCTCTCGATAATAGCTATGTATCTCTAAATAAAGCCGTTCGATCTTGTACTTTGTAGCTAGCGTAGCGAGAGCAACGTCAGCAGTTGGGAGAGGCTGACCTTGTCTATCACTACCTAGCCTCGGGCCATTCTCGTCTGACTGGCTACTGTTGCTCGGACATTTGCTCTCTCTCCCCACCTCACCTCACCCCTCCCATCTCCTTCTCTTCCTCTTGCGTCGAACGGTAACGCTTTAATCGGTTTTTCTCTTCGCCTTCCCTTCTATTCGTCAAACAGGAAAAGAAGCTAGCAGCAACAGAATATTTCTAACCTCTCGTCATTCGTTCCGACGTATCTTCTTTTTCACGAAATTCGACGATTATCAAAGAAACAAAGAACTTTCGAATGGAGGACACGCGAGACAGGAGAACTGTCAGGAAAGACACAGGGGAAAAGAGACTAGCAACTTGATTCGCTGGCGCCAAGAGCAGGCAGGCAGCTCCTTGTTCTGAAATCATTACGTAAATCGACGAGTTCCTTTCGTGGATCGTTTTAGAATCGCCACGCCCGAGGATCCAGGACAAGTTGAATCCTTCGTTGGACGACCTTCGAGCGGAAGACGTTTCCTTTCTCTCTCTCTCTATCTTTCTCTCTCTCTCTTTATTTCTATTTCTCATGTTCGTTTCGTTCCTCGAAAGTAATCGAAACGAATTTCGCTATACCGAAGCGTCAGTCTCGTAATTTATGCAACGTTATCGGAGCAGCAACGTCGACGTATCGGTGATGATCATTATCGATTCAAGTCGATTAAAATAAAATGCAATTTGGTATGGTTTCGTTAATTAGTACCGACCGATCTTATCTCAAAGCGAATAAAATAATTCGATGATGATTCTTCATTTTGGTAAGGAAAATAGAGACAGATAGATATATAAAATAAAGAAGAAGATTTATATTCGAAATGATTGCCAAAATAATTCGTCAAATTTTTTTCTGCAGATGACGAATTCTACGAGACGTCGCGTTATGAATGATATACGACGACTATTCCTCATTAACCGTCTGTGACTATTCTAGAACGAATAAAATTAAAAATGATACGACGCCAAAGATCGAGAATCGATTGTGAATGTTACTTCGACAGCTGACTCTAAGCGTCCTTTAACGGACCGGTACAAACATTTTTTATTTCCTCCTTTCGAAACGTGTCCTTGCCGGTGTCAAGTTCGCACTCTGCCCACGTAACTCGATAGTCTTTTCGCTCTCCTGCGTAGCGAAAGGAGAGAGAAAAAGAAAGAAAGAGAGAGAGAGAAAGAGATACGCGAATGGAGAAAATATCGAAATGAATTAATCAAAGATTTATTTTATAATAATTTATCAAACTAATCGTGAGATATCGAATTGTTGAATAAAAATAGATAATATGAGTATGAAATAAAATGTCAAGAGGACTATCAATTATTGATGACGTTTCTTTCTCTTTTTCTCTTTTGGGTTTCTTTTTTTGACAAATAATTATTATTCGAAATAAAACGGATTATAATTGCAAGTAGACGAAAGAAAGAAACGGACGAGCAGAGAAATTTTCTAAATTTATTTTATTCATTAATATTGTCGGTCTGGCAGGAAATATAGTAAATACGTATACTTTCATCGACTTAAATCACGTTGGCATGACCGATTGCCGGACCACTCAAGGCTGGATGCAAATTACGCGTCAGTGGCTACAAATTGACGCGCTTTTAATCGATAGGAGACTTTTTGTTTGCTCTCGGGGGGCCAGTTTTGTGCTGGATTCACAAATCGAACGATTTCTCGACTTTTTTCGTAATTTTTCGTTCGCAATCATTTTGCTATTCTATTTTATTCTACCAACAAATTCAAACGTTATTCCGAAAATAACGATCTAAGTTAAAGAGAAATCAATTCGAAAAGTTGACAGAAGAAATCTAACGAAACTTAAAGACCATTATGGATAATAATAATAATAATAATAATAATAATAATAATAATAATAATAATAATAATAATAATAATAATAATAATAATAATAATAATAATAAANGATAATAATAATAATAATAATAATAATAATAATAATAATAATAATAATAATAATAATAATAATAATAATAATAATAATAATAATAATAAAGTATGACAGTAAATGAAGAAATCACACACATCACGTATATTTAATTGCGAAAGATGCCTCTTTCCTGCAATTTCTGATTAATCTACGTCAATTTAGTGATGCGGGTGCCGCATTAGAGAAAACTATTATTTTATTCTCAATCAATACGAAATCGTTGAAGAAATTTTTATTCATAGATTTTTATAACTTGTCGCAACATATTTTTGTTTTTTCGTGTTTTTTTTTCGATTAACGAAAAGTACTGCATTTTTGCGAAGAGATTTTCGAAATAATACATCTGTTTATTCGAATTCAAACCGAAGACCAAAGTTTTCTTTCTCTCGTAACGATTTTTGACGTTGATATCTTGCTAGATCTTTTGCTGGCTCACTTGATAGTTAAGTTAGCCCGAGGCTAGAGCTCGTAAATTCAATTTAAATATTCGACCTTAATGACCATCCATCAGACACCAACTAAGAAGAACTTAGTAGCTGTCCATGATCGAAGGAGAGTTAGTATGAGCTTTGGTGTTTATGCTGTCAAAGAAATCCGACGTGAGTCTTCCAAGTTTTTCTCATCAACGTTATACGAGAAAGAGCCTATACTTATATACTTAACGAGAACGAAATCTTACATACATACGTACAGTTCGAACGCGTAGTTTATGAATTTCGAAATGAATATATCATTACTTCTCGAGAGAGAACTTACTTGGGAAGATTTCTTTTTTTTCATTCTTTTTTTTTTAAATATTGAGAGAATTATAATAACTCGTAGAAACTGGAAATTATCTGGGAATTTTAAAATAAGTTAAGGAATAGGCCATTAAAAAAATAAAAAAATAAAAACTGTACGATTCCGTACTCTCTTCAACACCCATAATATATATTATTATTTTTTAGTGAAATACCATCGAATATAATATTATTCGATTGAAGAAAAAAGCGTTATTTTAATCATCGATTTTTTTCAATGAAAAAGAGAGAGAAGAAGAGAGTATGTTATCAAAGGGTTATACTCAATCATAAAACGCGGAGTTATTTAACGAATAATATACAATCCTTTCGACTGGCATCGTTTACTATTAATCTCTCAGAGACAAACAATTCCTGGCTGGGAATTTGAAAGCGTGACAACCTGTTGATAGAATGTCGCGTGCCAAACATCTGCGTGACGGAATAGACTATGAAAGAGAGAGAGAGAGAAAGAGAGAAGGGTTTTCAAATCAACAAGAAAAAGAGCGAACGAGATAATTGTGCTAGGAGAGTCTGTGCAGAGGGTTGAAAATTGCGAAGATCCTTTGCCAGGATAACGTCGTTTTTGTGAATTTATTACCTTTTGAAATTTGTGCCTTTTTCTTCTTCTTCTTCTTCTTCGAAATATCGCGGTATTAAAAAGTTCTTTTTTTAGCTTCTAACGTTTTGATTTAAAATCTTATGATAAATATTAAAAGAATTATAGGGATTTTGCTATAATAACTTTTGATAAATTTAGGGATACAAAGTTACTCGTACTTATTTTTTGTTGTTATTGTTGTTAATTCGGCTCAGAGAATTTCTGGACACCCGCGAGAATAATAAAAAGAATAAAAAGAAAAAGAAAAGAAGAAGAAAAGAAGAAGAAGAATAAGAATAAGAAGAAGGAGAGAGGGTCTTAACGTTAGAGTGGATTAGGGCACAGCATAGGGTCAAAACGATGAAAGGTCCCTGATTTTAACCGAGAAATTGCCAAAGGCTCGTCTTACGAAGAATCGAAGATTAGCGGGATACAGAAGGACAGCTTTGAAAACGTAGACGTAAATTCAAAAAGGCACTTACGTTCTTGAGAAAAATACCATAAGTTTTACCAGGCCCCCACGCATCATCGATCATCCATGATCGACGTTACGTCTACGAAAACTTTTCACCCCCTCCCTCTTGTTATTTTTCTACTGGAAGATGCAAAGACGGTCGAGTCTTTTTTTCCCCTCAGATATTACTCTTTTCTTTTTTTTGTTCATCCTTAAGCCATATTTTTATTTTAACTTTTTTCTTACATATTATATATATGTAATAACAAAAGATTTGACGTTTCACATTGTTTTTTTTTAAATCTTTTTTATATATACTTCAGTCGACATTTTTTCTTCACATTGAAGATATTTAGTTGTAATTATGGAAGGTAGAGATAAGGAGTAAAATCTCTTATGGAAGAAAATGTGAAAAAGTGTCCAGCGTTTTCTGTCAATAACAGTTCAAAAACCTTCCAGAATGGCGCTGGTGTAGACACTTGGTATGGTATGAATGTAGCAATTGTAAATGTATTGTAATTGTTTATTTCTCAATCCTACTCTAATAAAATTTGGCGCTTCCTTTAAAATTTACCATGATGCTAATGTGGCGCCACTTCAATTGGTTCGATTTCGACGGACACTTTTCATATACAGAGATGTTACTCCTTACCTCTACCCTCCATAGTTGTAATAAAAGGAAAGTGACTAAGCTAATTCTTGTTTCTCGTAATGCCGGAGATATGCGATTTAGCAGAACGTCGTTGTGCAACTGAAAGCGTCTCGGTTGACAGGTTTTCAAAGCATCGTTCTACAATCATTACCAGTTGTTAACATTCTAAACCAGTGTGGATGTTATAATGATACGCGGCCATTATATGCGAAAGTGAAAAGAGCAAACGAGTTTCGTACTGCATTTACCGTAATCGATGAAACTGACATAAGTGGTAAATACTTTGGAGCAAAGTGGCTACACTTTTTCAATGCTGATCTTATTGATCTTTTGGTAATCGTGTTACTCGAAACGTTTTCTCAAAGTGCTATACCGTTATACGCACTTATTATGATATTCCGATATCATATTAAA